ATGTGATGAAGATAACATAAGAAACAGCAACAGCATAAGACTAATAATGGGACCTAAGCGAATTTCAGCGAACAGAGAGCTGTTTGAGTATTATTTACATTACTCACAGTCTGTCATCATTGAGGAGATTTGAGCAAAACATGCAGTTAGGCAATTTTATCAATCGCAATTACATTTTATGCGATTTCCACTTTTTTGAACAAAATGAATATACAAAATCAGCATGATCTGGCAGAAAAAATATGCAAAACGATGACTGTTTAGATAAGCGTATGCGCACTACAATGTAGGCGACATATAGCGACAATAGGCGACAAAACAACTTACTTTCAACCAGCCAAATATTCGATCGGAGTTGTTCCGATCCCGACTGTTCACCGATAGAACGACTCTCAATGCAATGGCAAGGAAGATCACATTTGCCTGGAATGACAATATATTAATGAAGCAATCACCACAGTTAATATGAAGTTTTCATTACCAAAATAACTACAATAACAGGCACAATAAAGGCCCATAGCGTCGGTGAAGATGTGTTTATCCAGCAACTGAAAGCGCCATTCTTTATGCGAGCCTTCAACAATAAAATAAATCAGTAACTCACTATCGATCAGTTCCATAATTATGCCACGCTACACCGGCCGAGACACCTACGACAACAGCAGGGAAACCATAGGAAAAGAGATAGTATAGTAAAATGCGCGTCTTGTCTGGTTCAAACACCTAAATTAAAGATTCAACAGAGGCAGGCAGGTAGTTGTCATGCACGAGTTGCAACTTACTTGGATTAACATCAGGTACAACTGGTAGCCTTCAAGAAGCATCCAACAAAATGCAGCAAGAAAGAAATAATGCAGTAAAAGGGCCACTATCGAGCAACCGATGCGATTGCCAGTTCGATCCATTCCTTAAAGAATATCATTAAATTAATTTTTTAAAAAATACCGCACAATGTATGGCAGTGCAACACCCACTGCTGCAGTGATTGCCGCTATAAATTCGTAAAAGCTAGTTAATTCAAAATTTATGTGAGACATTGTGATTCTGATTTGCGATATAATCAGTAATCGATATATTGATTTTCTGTCCAACCTGCGACAAATCAACAAGTTATCTCTCTTCACGACTTACCAATCACAAATATAAGTTCGGCCACAAGCAGACTAAAGCACAAATTGCGATGAATTGTATTTCGCACATTGTAGAGAGATCTAGAATATAGAAGCGGATATGAGATGTGTACCAATCAAATTTTCAAAATTTTACCTGAAGAATGTGAACACAAACAACGATAACGCCAAACACACTACAGACAGTGCACATCCAATAATTGACACGACGTCCAGGGCTGCTGCTAAACTTCCAGCATATTGGGACACTTTTCCGGAAACATCCATGAGGATGGCGAAACTGTAAACAGGGAAAATGATCGTCAAACAACAAAAAGT